TATTAAGAACAGTATGCTATATACACCAGGTCCCTTGAAACATATGCTGTGCAGATGTTTCTACCCTGCAGCGACTGTGTCAAGCAGCAAGGATGGACCGGCTTCCGGCAGACAATCTCTGCTCTCAAGTAGTTTACATTTCTTGGAGACAGATCAACAGCAGATAAATAAGAAAATAACGTCTCATAAAAAGTGGAAGATGCACATACAGTGATATCATCGAGGGTGCTTAGGTGGGTGGCCCAGGAAAGGCCTCTGAAAAGGAAGCATGTAAACTGAGATAGGAGCACCAGGAAGTAGCCACTATGACAAAAGGAGGGAAGAACATTCAATACTGGCATTTTTAATTTACTTCAACAGTATCTGCCCTTGTCCATCTTTGCATTCAGGATCTCTCCAAGATCCCTATAATTTTAATATTAGGGATGGAGTCGCATCCAGTCTGCAACATAAGGGAACTAATACAATATTAAAAGTACACAGAAAGGAAAATGATAAAATACTTGACATAGGCATATACTTCATCCTATTGGTGTATATCTACATGGAAGGCCAAATTATAATCATAAGATTGCTTTTAAGCATGGAATCAGAGCCAGAAGAGTTAGTGAGATAATCCTGACAGCTGCTGTCATTAAGCCACTCTCCTTGGTTTATCCAGTGCCTGATTAGGAAGATCTACCTATTATATATTCTAGAGAATATCCATAGGCAGGGGCTTCTGCTCCTTTGTAGATTGTTGGAGCCTTACTATAAAATTTGGGTACTATTCTTTTTTCCATTCTCCACCTTCAAAAATATAACCAATAAAGTCCACAAAATTAATAGCAGTTTATTAATTATCTTCTGAAATTTAACATGGTATATTTTGACTATGCTTACTAGACTTACCCTAGGTTGACCAAAGAATTAAAAAAAATAATGGGATCACTGTATTACTGCAAAAGATAATTTTCCATAGAATTAGCACAAACAAAACCTATCAAGTTTTTTTGTTTGTTTTGTTTTGCTGTCTGTTGCAAACCTGAACCACCTTCCTTCTATCATTGCAGCATAAAGGATGTAGGGGAACAGGAAAGTGGTGTTGATAACACTTTCAGTAAGAGCAATTTGTATTTCAAATGAAGCAACAGTACTTATGCTAGTCTTTCAACAAAATTCTAGAACACTACAAGAGATTTCTCCTTAGATAGTATAGATTTAAGTGCATGGTGAGGGCCCTACTTTAACTTTGATAGTATGGTTTGAACTTATTTATTTTTTAAATTGAATTTACTGGGGTGACACTGGTTAAAAAATGGTACAGCTTTCAGGTGAACAATTTTACAATACATCATCTTTTCACTGTATTGTGTTCACCATGTCCTCTGCCTTTACATTTACCTTTTTTTTTTTTTTTTACTTTTAACCTGAGGGAGAGGATATGCTTGTATATTTCCACAGGACGCAGACTCACCTGTGTGGATTCCAGACCGTCTAGTCCAACCTTATGTCTCACCGCCCTCCATCTCCGCCTCACCCTAGCACACCTGACCAGTTCCCCGTCTGCAGCAGATGTGCAGCCCTGAGCTGGAACAATCTGTCCATTGGGAGGATCACATGTGCCTCCATTTTGTCTGTCCATATGTCCCAGCTTTGCCCCATATCTCCTTTCCTTTTTTTTTTTTTCTGGCCAAGTTCTGGTGTTTATTGTCTTGTTACATCTGTATTTATACCAGTTGATTTTAATCCTGTCAATTTCTATTGCAAAGGTTAGGGCGTTTCTTATCTCCATTCCAGGGAGTAAAGATTATGTAGCTTAAGCATGATTGTTTGTAGTTAAAGTGATTAACTACCCGCCTGGCACTTAGTTAAGGGGTTGTATCCCCTCCCTAACCTCAGGGAAAAATCCCCACCTGGGGAAACAACCTTTCTCGGAGAGGTGACCTTGGTTAAAACACATGGTGCTAAGGAGAGCAAACATATTAAGAACAATATGCTATATATGCCAGGTCCCTTGAAACATATGCTGTGCAGATGTTTCTTTCCTGCAGCGACTGTGTCAAGCAGCAAGGATGGACCGGCTTCCGGCATTTGGATATCTGAAAACTCTGGGCATTCAGAACAGAATTCGTCTTCAAACCTCATCAACATCTGGTGTATATGAGTCTTAATCTCTTAGAATTTCTAGACAATAATTCTAACCAACAGAGTTAGGCTGTAGCAATTAAAAAAGAAAAATGCAAAGAACAGGGAAGATATTGGCTGAGAGAACTGACTTCATAGCCTTAAAAAGTGGCAGACCAGTTATTAGCTATATGACTTTGGGAGAGTTAATAATCTGCTCTTTACTATGTAAAACATAGGTAATAACAGCTACTGCTTGTATAAAGATTAATAATTGGATATTTTGAATACATTTAAAATGCTATTTTAAAACCAATGTCACCCCAATAAATTTAACTTATTATAAAAATGTAAAAAAAAAGTTATTTCTTATTTCTACTCTTTTCCTATATTTTCAGTCAGTCTAGAGTAGACCTTTTTTGACTGCGAGGGAACAAGAAACACAGGATGTACGTCTGTTCAAAGTATGATATATTTTTAAAATTTCAATCCCTCGATTCAGTAAATAAAGCATATATAACTGAAGCTAAATTTTCACAAAATAGCACTTATGCAATTCTTTCTTCTGAATTCTGGTTTATTTTATTGAGAAGTAATAGTGTTTGAAAAACATTCCTCAAGTCTAAGCCATCTTAACTGAGCCTAGTGCCTATAGTTAGAAGAAATAAAAACATCTTATTTTAGGAGGAGAGGGAGCCTTTTTATCACCATCTTCTCTTCTCTAGGTTAAAGGCTACACTGGATATGACCATCATGTGCTACCAAATCATGGCGATTTGAGATGTATTAGCACTGATTCTAGAAGTAGCTTCTTGGGTAGGCAATCAGCCATGTGTGAAATGAAGATAGCAAGACTTGAAAAGTCTCTCTAGAACTTGATAGCGTGATGAATTAATATGTAGTGAAGTACTCTAATGTCTAATAAAATGGGGACCTTATATGTAAATAACAGCAGTGTATTGAAAAAATATAATATAGCAGTATAGTATCCAGTAACATCTGAGACCTGTTTTGAGATTTTATAATCAGTAATTAGATCTGAGGAAGTGGGTTCCTTAACACTGTACAGTCTTATGAAGCATAACAACTTTGTAATGTAGTCCTGTACCTTCCTATCTATGTGTTTTAGGAACAGACAGCACAGCATGACCCGTCTGGCCAAAGCACCAGATATGCAGCCCAGTACAGTACCCGTGGCCGCTAGATTCTTCGAGTCCAGACCCAGCCTGGTGGGGTAAGCGGCTAAGGAAGAAAGCCACAGACTATTTTCTTGAATGATCTCCTGATGCAACTGTGTTTACACTTCCCTGCCAGCACCCAGGGGGAGCTTTACGGTCACCAGACTCCTACGACCTCTACTGGGTTCCTAGTCCCCGGGCTCCGGGAGGGAGAGGGGCGGACGGACGGGCGGGCACACACCCTTCCCCTCCCGCCCCGCCCC